TCGGTGAACATGTCAAACTAACGATCAAAGACTACAGATTTTAGCCTAGGATTATAGGAATCTTTTAGGATTTTCAAAATTTGTCTTAGACGACCAAATTGTGGCCAAAATCGTACAGTGTGAACCGGGCTTTAGTCACATTTTCGTCATTCTGTATAATGGTTAAACGGATAAAAATATTTTTGCTCAAAATTATAATAGTAATGATTGTTGTCATTTGAGAAATTTACTTTTGCATTTCAGGTATTGCACTTTCACCAGTAAGCACAAATCAATGGAGCATAATTTGCTTTTTAGGTTAAAATAATTTCTTAATATGAAATTCGAATGGTATGACAATTAGTAGGGGTGTGACGAGACACTTATCCCACGAGACGAGACACGAGACTGGGTTCACAAGAACGAGACGAGATTGTTATACTTTTTTAAAGAAATCCTCAAATGATGAAATATATAGGGAAAAATAGTCTTTTATTCAACTGAAAAACACAAAATGCAAAAAAGTAGGTGCATTTTGAAATCCACTTGTACTTTATGAAATTAAACATCTATTTGAATCAATTTTATGCAGTAATAAACAACATGTAAACACTGCAAAATGTTTTGCCACAAACTCAACTGACAGGCAAGTAATTGCACAAATTATGAGTAGTATAAATAAAATTAAATAATAAACAACATAAATATCCCTTTAAAGTGGAAGTGAAGCAGTCAGTCAAGTTTACATTATTTAGTAAAGTGATTTCCACTTTAATAAAAAAAATATATATAATAAACACGATTAATGTATCCATTTAAAAGAAGCTAAAAAAATAAATAATAAACACGATTAATGTATCCATTTAAAAGAATAAAGCAGTGGTTCCCAAACTGGGGGGCACGGCAAGGCTGAGGGATAGTTAGGGCCCTATGAAATCTGTTTTATTTTTTCCTAAATTCAGTTTTATTTTTTTTTCCAAATTCCGTTTTTTACCGTTTTAACTTTTTTTTTTTCTCGACTCCTTTTTAATAGTTAAATTAAATTGTATTAATTAAAAAGCATGTCTAATTAATTGAAATCATGAAACTTATACATTTTCACATCAATTTATTAAAAGTTTAACAAAAATGACATGTTAGTTATAGGCACAATGTCTTCAAATCAAACCGGACTTTTATTTTGACGGGTTTCCGTGAATACCTTTACAGTTCTGTGTATGAGATATGACGCTAGTTTTACTCTAAAATGCTCATGAAGTGACTCTCAGAGCAGTTCTGGAGATGTTGTTCATGTGTTTACGTGAGACGGCAGATGCTGAAATCACCTTGAGTGTCAGGTGCACTTCAGTATGTGTGTAGTAAATGAAACCGCGCGTCTGCGCCATTCATTAACAGAGGTTAACAGGATTCATATTTAAATCGACTTTTGCGGCTTAAGATTTACAGATACTAGTCCATATCGTGATTTGATTTGTGTAATGACCTACTTTTGATTAATTCATTCAAAATCTGACAAATTCCGTGACATTCCGCGTTAAACTGTGAATTCTGTTTTTATGACTGGATAAAGACTACACTGCGTAATTTTCCCGCCTGTCAAAGCAGTGTCACATCGTCACTAAAGTTTATAAATTGCATTACTTTTTAATTATTGACAGTGTTTAACCATTCAGCGCTCGTGCACACTTGCAGCGCACGTGTAATGCCAGGTTCACATTACTCCGTTTGCAGTGCGAATGTGGTGCGTATTTTTTCAGCGCTCATGTTAACAGATTAATAAAGTGGGCACACTGCACACGGTTGCTGTCCGGCAGTGCGTTCCAGGAGCGGTGCGTCTGCAGCAGTGCAGAGATCGTTTCCACACCGAGTCTATTTTTGCTGCGCTGCAAGGGCTTAATTAAAGTAACAGCGCATTTTTTTGCAGTAAATATGAACATGGATTGACACGAAAATGTAGCAATTACACCATAAATGCATATTATTAAAGTCTACTGTGTTTCACAGTCAACACATATGGCTTTTTGGCTAGGTTTAAAGGGAAAGAGCACTTTTAGACGGGCGGGGATTAGAACTCTTGATATCTGGCAACCGCACACATGAAAACTCGCATAGTAGAGGTGTATACAGCAGTCTGCAATAACATTTTGTCTCCTTTTTTGACGAAAATAAAAAGAGGTTTTTGGTAAAGTAAAAATTTTTTTTTATACATTTTAGTCTCGTCTTATTTCGTCAACGAAATTGCATGTTGATATAGTCATAGTTATCGTTTATTAACCTTATTATCGTCTCGTCTTAGTCATGGGAAAAAAGCTCAAAACATTTTTCATCATAGTCTTCGTTAACGAAATGAACACTACACAGTACCATGGACTAAACAAAGCCTCGAGGCAAATAATTTGCCTCAATGATTTTTTGTATTCGAGTCATTCAAATAATCGTTTCAGCCCTAGTGCTAACCCTATGACCTACGTGAAATTATATTAATGTGCAAATGCTGGAAGATTTCATGACAGAGCTAAACCCTGCTGTGCAGAGGAAAGAGAAAGCACATGAACATGACCAGTTCTGGGCAGCCCCTGTAGAGAAACCACTCTTCCCAACAAAAATATTCCCCTACGCACAACTGAATAATTCATTATGTAAAATATTCATCATGAAGCAACGATTGTTGCTTTAAACAGCTTTCAAATTTAGTCAAGCAACTCAAACAGTCAGGTAAAAGTGCACTAAAAGTGCAAGAAATTAAAGCCATACAAGAGACATGGACAGAAAGTACTGGGGAAGCTCCCAAATTATAATTATTCTGTCCTTATCAGTGAACCATGCAAACTGGGTTAAGTCCTGTGGTGCACCATACATTGCATTTTTTTAATTGTCAGCACAAACAACTGATTTCTACATTAAAGGATCTTTTGCAACTCATAATTTGTACCTACCACTGAAAACCACAAAAGCAGCTGAACTAAAATGAAGGCCCAAGCACAGTGAAAACAATCTCTGCTTCACACACAGAAGACAAATGTGCTTCTATTAAAAGCTACAGAGCGATGTGGGAGTTTGGCACTGGAAGAACACGTGGATTCTATTATGGGCAGTGCATTCGACAGTGGTAGCAGTATACAAACACTCTATAGGGCCTGCTGACAAAAACCCGCTTCTCCTGAAAAGAATGGCAGCTACAGCACTACAAAAGCTTCTGTAATCAGCACACAGTAGATGGGAACAGGAAGAATTTGAATTCGCTTTTAACAACTCATTAAATTCTCTTTCTGAAAAATGACCAGTGATTTCTGACACGACACAACTGATATCTACTTTCCTAGTCATTAAATATTTTGAAGCAAGGCCTATATGATAGCTTTGTGCTAGAGAAAGTCCAAAAACGTACTCGCTGAAAACGCTTAAATCTCATTGGAAACTGCAAGCAATAGCCAATGCAAACAAGTGTGACAAACGCTGTTCATCGTCAGTGACATCAAACCTGGCATGCTGTGTCTTGAGGTGCTTTTAAGGCATTTTTGGAGCTTGACAATCTGAGTTACTACCCAATTACATGGTTTAAAAACTGCAGCATGGACATTCTACTAGATCGCTGTTTTTTGTTCCACAGGAAAAGGAAAAATGCTCAAGGGTGAAACAGTTAATTTTGGGGTGAACTATTCCCTTAAATGTAAAATGCAGCGTAAATAGCAGCATCAGGCTGAAACTGAGCGTTCAAATCTGAAGCTCACCCAAAGGCTGTTAAGACGGCAGATGGGCACAGCAGCATGCTGCTATTGAAAAACACTCCCATGTAAACACAAACTGGTTTTGTGTGCTGTTGCACCAGGAAGTCACAAGTATTTGGGTTCAAAACAATCTGCGACTCACTTGTTCAACCTAGGGTTGTGTCGGTGGGGAAATTTTCCCACCGGTTAATCGGCGTGTGACAACACCGGTAATACCGGTATCACCACGGGGGCGGGGCATTCCCTCTTTCCCTCGCTTTCCTTCACTTTTAAATAGCTTGTAAAAGCGGTGTGCCCATTTTACTTTCACTTTAAAATAGCGGCAATTCGGAGTAAAGCAATTGTTCATTTTTAGTTCGTTTGAATTTCTCCTCTTTTCCTC